GCCTCCCAGGTTCAAGCGATTCTCCTGCCTCAGCCTCTCCAGTAGCTGGAATTACACGCGCCCGCCAGCATGCCCAGCTAATTTTTGTGTTTTTAGTAGAGACGGGGTTTCACCTTGGCCAGGCTGGCCTCGAACTCCTGACCCTAGGTGATCCACCCGCCTCGGCCTCCCAAAGTGCTGGGATTACAGGCACGAGCCACCGTGCCCAGCCAGGAAAATATTTAAAAACAAATTAAGCAAAGATTATAAAAGTTTTTGGAGTAACACAGTTCCTGAAACAATCACGATCCACATCAAGTCTGAGCCAAGTTGACATCCCCACATCAGGCCCCTTCCTGGTGTTCGTGGAATCTGCAACACAGACAGAGGTGCAAGGGTCACTGGGGAGGCACAGAGGCGGAGGGAGGAGGGGCTCCCTGGGGTCGTGCAGGTCTCAGAGAGCTCCTCGGGCCCTGGAAGGTGACCTTGGGCCCCTGAGATCCCCACAGTCAGGTCTACTCAGATGCCAAGGCACTGAGGCCTGTGTGCTGCTCTCTGCTGAGGGGTTATCTGTCCACAGACAGTGTCTGTAAGTGTCACGGAGGAAGAACTGAACCTGGGCGCTCACACAGGCACCTTCAGGGGGCTGGTTCCCTGGAGAGTAAAACAGACACAGAGAAACGGGGGAATTTTGAGGATTCCAGGATCAACAGGCAGAGCCCTGGGCCCTAAGGGGAGCAGGAGGTCTCATGACACAGGGTGGGGGTGGTGACCCTGCCTTGCCACCCAGATCCTCTGTGCCATCCAGACAGAAGAGCTGCACATTGAATATGCACAGCTGCCTGGAGCACGTCATTGTTATTGCCTAGTAAGACCTGGTCTTTCTAACATCCCCACCAGACCTGTCTTTGTATTGTAATTTTTAAAATTACGCTTTGGTAAGACAAATTTCTCACTTTATTCTATAATAATAGGGTTACACAAGACATACATTTCAAAGAGTGAAAAACAGTGTATAGATACACACAAACACACGTTTGTATGTGTGCCTGATTTCAAGATTGGAAAATAGATTTAAAAAACAGAGGCTCCCTGAATCATGCCCTCAACCCCTCCCAAGTGAGCATGGCCCTGAAATGTCTTCAGGGGTTTGCTTTGTTGGCATTTGGCACAGATACAGAACCACTGATGCCCAAGCCAGTGCTCTCTACATACAGAAGCCTCCAACCTCATCTTGAAAAATGGGGCCATGAGGTCACCCCAGGTCCCCAGGCCCCCCTAGAGGCTGAAGGACCCCTAGGACTGGGCACATTTCAGTGCTTCTTGGATCCTGTCGTGTCCCCTGCTCGATGCCAGGACCTACTGAGTGCCCGCTGGCCTCAATACTGGGCAATACCGGGCCGCGTGGGCTGCATGCTCGTGTGACAAGGAGCCTGGGGGTACCTTCATCCTTCTCACACCTTTCCCAGGAGACCTGAACTGGGGGCGATTCATGGTCAACCCTAGTTCTCCTCAGGATGAACTAGTGATACTCCCTGTTGGCCTCAAGGGGCTCGGCGGACAGAGCTGGGTCCCCCCAAATGAGATGCTGGTGAGCTGAAGTGTCACTGCAGCAAATAACACAGTGCACAGCCCCTGGTATCCTGCACACGGTGGCCCGACCAGCACCTCAGTGTCTCCCTCACTAAGCAGCCTGTGGAGGGCTCAGCCCAGCAGGCTCAGGGGCTGCTCTGGAGTGGGTGTCTGTTTCCTGGAGGATGTTCTCAGGGCATCCCTCACTTACCTTCAGAGGTCTCTAAAATATATTAAAAATGTCCCAACGGCTCAGGACATTCCGCCAGGTTTTCTTCCTGGGCTTCCTGGTTTTCTTCCTGGTTTTCCTGATGGGACAACAAGAAAGTGAGCGTAGCCATGAAGAACACGGGCACGTGTCTGCTTCCCTCATCATTCTGCCCGCCGCACACTCACACTTCCTCTTCTACTTTTGTCTTTTCTGTTGCTGCTTCTGCAGGTGCAGAGGAGGAACTTGCTGACATCTGTGAGAAAGAGAACAGTTGTGTATGTCCAGAGACGCCAGTACAGGAAAAGTCCTATCTGGGCAGGGGGTGCCCAGAGCAGACCCAGATGTCACTGGGAGTCCCTCCAGCATGGTGGGGTCCAGCTCATCTGACCCCAGCCCAGCCCCTCCCTGGACCCTGAAGGGTTGTTCAGCAAGATTCAAAGCTGCAGCCTGGGGGCCGGTAAACAGGGCAATGCCAAAGCAGCAGGCAGGAGGGCTGGGGAGGGATTGTATTGACACTGAAGACCCGAGGACCTTGACTGTGGGGTGAGACAAGGTCCTTCAGGAGAACAATCACAAGAGAGGGAAAGAGGAAAAGGACCAGAGCTAAAAAAGGAGCTCATGAGTCAGAAAGAGGATAAAAGAGAGAGAGCGTATAAGAGGAGATCAATTACCTGCTGGTGGCTGCCTGTAATGGTGGAGTCTTCCAGTTCTGGGAAGCAAGCATCAGAGTGTCCGGAGGAGCAGCGGTGATGGGG